AAATGTATATAAACTAATTAAAATAACAAATTTAATACAGCCATACTTTTATATAATATTTACAAAATTCATTCACTTAGGATAATTCCGAGCATTTTTCGTGGAAGAAAAAGCAGGACTCCGATAGTCTCAGTGTGCCTCTCGCTCAGCCGCAGCATTAGTTAAGACCAATGGAGGCTAAGCAGAGGCGCCATAGTCTGAAATTATTTTTTTTTTTAAAATTTTTATTATGATATTTACAACTGTATTAGTATGAATACATCAAGTAAATGTGTACAGAGGAATGTAATCACATGAAACACGCTTGTTGAGAAACTACCCATTGGTAGCACTCTAAAGTCTGAAATAAAGACAGATTTTAACGTTTCGCAAACTGTGGGATACTAGAAATCGAAATAGGCCCTTTTCATCTGCTATCACTATTTCAAGAAAAATCAATGGAAATTAATCGTTTCAAAATTAAAATTAATCAATATTAAAACTATTAATATTAATCAAAATTAACTCTATTTTGGACATTAGTTTACTGTTTGTGTTGCTTGGAAGATGTTGAATCTAATGATTCCTGGTAAGATTTAAATGAATTTTCTTCATCGTAATTTTACGCTGTTTTTCATTTTTTTTTCCTGTAGTTTCTTTTTAAAATTATAATATGTTAGGGGAGATGCGATTCCCAACGTCCGTTTGTTTTGCAGGAAATATATAAATATCCAAGCACCACGTTTATTTTTTTATATTTTTATTTTTTGTGTTCCTGGTGTTTTCGAGGTGTCTAAACGCAGCTATAAATAGATCAACACTTAAATAATAAAAAATTGATGTAATAATACAGTATACAGGGTGTTTCGTAATTGCACGGCACTATTTTAGGTATGTATTCACTAACACAAAATAAACAAAAAAGTTAATATTAACATATATCTCAAACTCATTTATTAAACAGATATCAAAGGTTAAAAATTTATCATTTATTTACTACATTAAGACTGACTGTACAAAGTTTAACGCGTTTAATACTAAATAACAGGTTTTAATCACCTGATAAAGAAATGAACGATAAGCAAGTAGTTGCTCATCTGTTTGTCTAGTTCTGTGTGTTTTAGTGTGAGTGAATACTGTTACACAGTTTAATTCATGATTATCATGGGAGACACCATAAATTTATTCACTTTTGCAGAATGAACAGACATGCTTTTAACTTATTGGGAGATATATAGAAACGGTGCTACTGCTGTTCGAAGAAAACGTGAAAAATTTCCTAACTGAAGAATACCAAATCGTAAAACGTTTGATGCCATTGAAAGACGCCTTGGGGATAATGGCATGCAAAACCAGAGAAGCATGAATTCGTCGTGCTGAATGTTGCATTCAACAAAACGGAGGCCCCTTTGAACAGTTACTCTAAATGTTGTAATAATAATAAATAAATAGTGATAATAAATCTTTAACTTTTTATATCTGTTTAATAAATGAGTTTGAGATATATGTTGATATGAACTTTTTTGTTTATTTTGTGTTGTGAACACATACCTAAAATAGTGCCGTGCAGTTATGAAACATTCTGTATAGTAAGTATTACATGAGAGTTAAGCTGTTACCTAACAGTATATATGTATATAGTCTTTATAGGGTTATTTTAGTCTAGAATAGTTATATATTTGGTATATTAACTATTTGTCATACAACTTTAAATTTTTCTTTTTTAAATTTTGTCATACAATTATAACTTTTTAAATTTTGAGACAAAAGTTTAGCGGGCGCGAGTAGTATACCATAACGCAAAACACTACATCAATCATTTGAGGCTTGTCACATTGGGATTTTAGCTTAATAATTCCCCCACATATATTATTACAGTAAGGCTCGAAATCGGTTTTGTACCAAATATAAGCTCCTGTCATGCTCAAATACCATGAATGGGTTACCGTTGGATTCAGAATTTCACAGGGGGTTAGCGAATTGTATTTTCCATCGTATCGTATTTTTTTTTTCATTATATTATTTATTTTTTCTTATTTTCGATTAATATTCATTAGGAGAGTTCTATTATAGTCCATTTCATTTGAAAATAACTATATATTTGGCATATAGCTATAGTATCAGTACGATGTTGAAATAATTTGTATTGACCGAAGGAGGAAAGTGGGTTCAAATAATTTTTTTAAAAGGAAACAGAGTTGAGATTTGTATTTCACACCTCTATACAGCCTCAAATACGAATTTTCAAAGAAATAAAAAAATATTTGTTTCCTTTGTCGATTATATTTATCGATAAAGTAACAATTGATTTCTTTATCTTTTGATACGTTGCATTATTTTATTTTCTTATTAATTTGGCATTTGATAACAATATGCTGTGCGAATTTTTCGACTGGCCTACTAGTAATAATAAATGTATTTATTGAAAAATTTTACAAATGCCTTTTGATATATTTTATAAATGTGATGTTCCTTAGGGAACTTCCTCTTAAGGATTAGCGTGAATGCGTGATTGGATAAACCTCCCAGTGAAGCACTCCTAACGTTACTCTTCGTAATGTAGCTCCAGAGACGTTAGAGTCCCCTTGTTTGGTTCTGTTGCAGTGTGTCTGTTAGTAATGTTTGTACAAGTGGAATAGGATGTCCAGCTAAGGAGTCATGGACATTTTTGTAACATTTCTTAATTGCGTCTGTCACAGGTAGGTGTAGGTGTTTATGTAGTGATTTATTGGTTATGCATAAGGGAAAACGAGTGACATACCGGAGAAATTTAGATTGTAAGTTTGAAAAGTCTGTGTGTTTTTTTGCATGAACCCCACATCTCTGAAGGCATACGTCCAAATTGTTCTGAGTAGCATGTTCTATATAATAATTTTGTTATTACGTAATAGTTTGTTTTTATAGTGTAGCATTCGTCTTAGTAGTGATAGCCCATGGTTCAATATTTTTTTTTTAATGTAGTAACGAGTGATTTCCAGATGAGACGTCTGTCCATTGTGAATTCCAAATATTTTGTCTGTATGATTTAGCAAAGGGATGTTGTAAAGTGTTAGTGGAGGGCAATTCGAACGTCTTAGTGTAAATGTAACGTGATTTGATTTTTGTATGTTAATTTTAATGCGCCATTTATCAAGAAAGTCTTGTAGTAGATTTAATTGAATCTATACTTTTTTGGATGCTGCGATCGGATTAGTCAGTAGAGAGTATGACAGTGTCGTCTGCGTAAGTGCAAGTAATGTGTCTGGCTACTGTGGAATATCAGAAGAGTAAATAGGCATAACTGGACCTAAAATACTTCCCTGCGGTACTCCTGCACCGATTCGGCATTCGTTGGAGTGTTATATATACCATCCTGGTTGACAACGAAAAATCTATCTTCAAGATACGGTCTAATGATTAAATACTAAGTATAAGGAAAGATCGATTTAATTTTACAAAAATCTGAATCGAAGGCCTGGATTATATATCTCGATTTTTTTTTTCTTATTCCCTCGTTTCTGGAAATGAAATAATAGATATTGCAAAATCCCAAGTTTATGAATACCTCAATCAGACCATCTAGTCGAAGGTTAGAATTAACTAAAATTTAAAATATTGAAAAAAAGCTGATCTTTGGAAAAACGGATTCTGATTTTTTACTTTTCGTTCTTTAGAAAAAAATTCGATTGCATGTAAATTAACATATATTTACAATTTTGGCTACCATTATTTTGTATTTAACAGTTGTTTTTCGTCTTAAACAGAAGGAAATCAAAATTGATTAACACATTTGAATATGTACGATATTATAAATATAGTCCTCCGACTCTTGCCCGACTAATATATTAAAAAATATTTTATGTGGTCATAACTATATATCGAATAATCCAGTCTTCGGCGGAATATGACTAACGCCTGCTAAACCGAATATATTTCTTCATGGAAAGATGATTAGAAATTATTAGTTAGTATAAAAATACACTACAATGACATTCCACTCACTCTCCCCCAAAAAATCTACAAACAGAAAAATAAATAATAAAGAAGATAAGATAAATTAGCTTAATATCAGATGGTTGAACGAAAGCAAAGATTTTCAAATTACTTTAATAACAAGAAAATTATTTCATAGTGGGATAAAAAAACAACAACCGGGAAACTAGGGAGCTAGTTAGACCTCAGAAGATATCTTTATTATATCCAACTTCTCGACCTTGTCCAGATATAAAAACAAGATATCAAGATATTTTACATCAGACATGTTAACTTTGTTTAAATATATTTTTCCTGTTTAGCATAAATATTAATATCATGATATCATTACCTTAATATCCCATTTGTTCTCGAGCTTATCCCTGAAGATTTTTCCAAATTCCATCAGAACGTTATAAATCGTCCGAATCCCTTACCACAATCCCTATCTAGTTGCACTCATCCCTACAATCCTTCTCGAAGGTTATATTATATATATGTATATATATAATCTATATATTATTATGTGCTCTCAACTGGAACTTTTTAATCAGATGGTTAGTGAGAAATTTATAACAAACGATATGGGATCATGTTATGCTTATGTTAATTGTTTGCAAAGTACGTTTTTCCTCACAATTCATTTTCCGCCATACTTAAATGCGATGTTTTTTATTTAAATGAATCGTTTTAAATAATATTTAATTCAAAGAAAAAAAAATGGGAATAGGTGCTCATGTTTAATTTCTGGTCTTAAAGGAACTAACGGATCCAGGACTTAATTGTGGGGAGGCTTCAGTCCGAAAACTTTATTTTGTAAATATATACAACGATCATTATTTCGAAAAAAAGAAAGAAACTAACTACCTATATGAAATGGTGTTTAAGTGATTCTTTAAGTCCTATTAAATAAAATTTACACGAACAGTAATACTTTTAGAGATAAGTTTTTAATATTTATTTCGTAAGACATGGTTATGTCTCACCATTTTGGTGGGGCTTTAGTCCTCCCCCCCTGTAGACCCACCTGTGCTTAAAGGTGTATATAATGTTTATTAAACTATGCTTACCTTGTAGTTCTGTATAGTGCTGAGAATAACAGCTTCTTTAGCAGGTCCTCTTAGGAATATCATTTTGAATCCACAGGTTATGATAGTGAGGATTGAAATGACTCCACTCAACCAAAACAAGGGCGAGGTGAGAAGAAATGCCAATTCTGGTACGTCATTTCGTCTGCAAATTATGAATTATTATTATTAATCAATGGAAAGTTAAGATGCATTTGCAAATTAAATTATTATTATATCTACTATTATGTACACATCGCTACTGTTAGCGCAAAAAGTCGAACGCGAGAATTTTCCATGTTTATTCTCTTAGCGTTATAGGTGACATGACATTTTGCAATTTGCAACTGCAATAAGTAGTCTATCTCTATCAAAAATATCAGAGAGAAATAAAATATAAAACCACACTAATAAATCATAAAGAAATAATAAGTTTATGAACTTCTGCAAAAAACTCAATTTTTATATACGAACTTTTGTGCTGAAAGTAGCAATATATATAGTTAGTTTATGCTATTTTCTTGATGTTATATTAATATTAATTTCGTTTTAAGTGCAAAGTCCCCAATACTGACGAATAACTACGCGTTTGAAGCTCAGCGGGGTATAGATGGGTTGGGAACTGATATTATTGAGATTTTGAAAAATATCAGCAACCTTGTAAACTAGTCTTTTTTTCTTTTTTGGAAAAACTGAACTATGTTCCAAAATTATTTTTTTTTTTTTAATATTTAAGTTGATTTATAACTTTAAATTTACTGTAAATTTCTTACAGTAAAGTATTTGTAATTAAGTTTTGTAATTTCATATATATATATATATATATATATATATATATATATATATATATATATATATAGTAAGGGCTAAGATAGCCCACGCGGTTGAATAGTCCAAACAGTTGTAAATACAGGACAAGCACGTAAACTTAACGCTCATTCCATCGATGGATTTCATTAATCTATTGAATCGAGCAGCCATGAATACTTTATTGTGAGTATAGGAACTATCCGAGTGGAAAGTTAATACTTCTGGAAGGTTATGTAACTTATGAATAACTTCATACTGAATTGTTAAATTTCAAAACGGAAATAAATATAGATAGTAAGTAAACCGAATATAAATGTGTAACGTAAATTGAGAAATGAAAACACTAAGGTTATAACGAGTTTACATCCAGCGGATCCAAAGCTGATAAAACAACTGAGCCATCTGTAATATAATTGATGGATTAAAGAACGAGCTGAATTTCATCTATGCTTTTCATCCATAAGTTTAGATACCGTTCGATGAATTAACGATGTCATCGATGAGCATCATAGCTCTGAGTTCAATATCTTACTCATGAATAAATAAAGAAAATTTAATGTAATGATTATTAACATGTTATCGAACTTGCCTAAGTTAAATTAATGAGCTTAGAGCCTGTATCTATCGAACGTTATGGTTATTTATGGTTCTTTGAAAAAAATAAATAGATATGTACAATATTTTCACATATCATATTACTTCCCTAGCCTTAGCATGTGTCACTCTATCTTAAGGGAGGGAGGTATTAGCAGAGATAATCTAGGAATTGCGGCATCAAATGACAATATATTAAATTGCGTGCCTTTAAAAATATCTAGTTCTACGATTTAAATTTTTATCTTAGTATATTATAATATCTTTTTTTATTTAATATTTTTTTATAATGAAAATGATTTGTAAATTAATGTATATTAAATACCTACAAACACTTTACACTCATCAAGAGGTAGGCGTCGGACAACATGACTCCCTTGGGTAGCCCAGAGGTGCCGCTGGTGAAGAGGATGAGTGCTACATGTTCCTCTATGTTGGTGATACTAGGCCTGAATTCCGGGTCAGTTGGTTGTAGCAGTGACTAGAAAATAAAAAAAAATTCTTCCAATTTATTAAAAAAAATCTGATGCGGTGCGTGCATCACACAGCTTTCACTTACCAACCTTTTTTTCCCTTCCCTAACTCGCCTTTTTATGCATATGGAGACTTTCCCCATCATTTTTAACCAATTTTTATAGGAAGTTCAAATGCGAAATGGTTAATTATTTTAAAATAAAGGAGTTTCTGGTTGCATTGAGGAGGATAAAACCTACTTCAAATTAAAAGCAACTTAACAATACACTGACCTAGTGAGTTTAATAAAAATGGATTCATGGCGGAGTTGTATTGGGCTGCCAGGAGCCGAATGGCTTATAGCCAACGGCAGAGGCGTTTAATAAAAAAGAAAAGAAAAAAAGTTTAATAAAAATTGTTTCTGAGAAAATAATAAAAATTTCTTAAATCGAACCTCTTTCGGTTTACCGATTTTGACGAAAAAATTACTGTAACATCCCAGGTATATACAAACCTTTTAATAAGCTATTTGAGTTTCTAACGACTTTTCGTTTTTGAGCTAGTCTGTTGTAATAAATACATACAGACCATTTCGTGGGATTTGTTTATTTGGACACCGGGGACCTCAAAACGCGTATTTCCGTTGAAAACTCAAATTCGAAAAGTTTCACGATCGCAATACTTACTCTTATTATATATTACCTACATTAGTAAGTCAAAGTAAAAACATACACTAATCCTTTTTATGATTGATGAAATTAGTGTTTTAGAACCGTAGATGAAAAATTATTAGTGTTTTTTTTTTAACTTGATAGAACTTTTTCGGAACTTTTTTCCTTGCTGCTTTTCAAAATCTTTTATTTTTAAGAAACTTCTATTTAAAAGTTCAATCTTAGAATCTTTAGAATTAAGTAATTCATTTATGATAAAATATACCTCTAATCCAAGCCCAATTACTGTTTACTTCTTATTTAACACAACTTTTTTTTTTAAAGAACTTAAATAGATGATAGTTAAACTTTTGTCGTAAATCTGTGACTTTTTACAATGTATAAATAGTTGTTTAGAGCTATTATTTTTAAACTTTCTTCATAAACATTTTCTCAGAAAGTTCACAGAAATAAATTTTTTTTTTAGTTTCAACTTATAGAAAATACACATTTATTTTGTAGGGAATATTTTTATGTTTAAGTATGTATTCTTATGCTTGAAATTAAAATAATTTAGCTAGGTTGTTTTCTCTTTAAACTTAAGACTATACTTTCATACACGTACTATTTTATCCTTCAATCTTTCCTCTTCGACAGATTTTTTTCAGTTCGTCAGGGCTCGGAAGTGTCTTCAGTCCGTCCAATCTTGGCAGGAGTTCCCCAAGGTTCAATACTAGCTCCTCTACTTTACGTTATTTTACACTTACGATATACCTATTGATGATGAGATCTTGACAGTTACATATGCAGACGATACAGCAATCCTCACAAAACATCAAGACCCTACACAGGCCTCACTAACTCTATAACATCATTTGCTTAAACTACAAGATTGGTTCACACTATGGAAAATTCGATTTAATCATGACAAATCCAAACATAACATTTACTCTTCGAAAAAACACCTGCTCTCCAGTTTATATTGACAACAATCAAATTCCTCAAACGGACACGGTACTTTTACCTTGGACTCACCTTCGACAGAAGGATGACATGGGGTCTACATGTTAAAATGAAATGTATGACACTTAACAAACGACTCAAACTACTTTACTCTCTTTTTGCCAAATCTTCAAAACTAAAACTAAAACAGAAACTGAATACATATACATACTTCCTTAAGCCCATATGGACATACTCATCACAAATATACGGCATCGCTAAAAAGACCCACCTTCAAAAACTTCAAACGTTCCAATCAAAATTATTGCGACTCATAACAAAAGCACCTTGGTACGTGACTAACAAAACTCTACATACTGACCTCCACTTTCCAACAGTTGACCAACATATAACGACCCTATATCAACGAGTTTATACAAATTTAAATGGACATAATAACAGACTTGTAAGAGACATGGCCACAGCTGACATACCTCAGAACATGAGGAGGAGACTAAAAAGGCGTTGGATGAGGGATCTCCTTCCTTAGACAACCTAAGTAATTGGAACAAGTTAGGGAAGAGGTGCTGCTGAGTACTTTCCTTCCCCATGCCTGTCATGTCATTATATCATTATTGCCATCACATTTGCTGATTGTCAACTTATTGTTGACAGGCGCAAATACATATTTTATAGACAATAAAAAACTAGGCTGTTGATTAATTTCCGCTGACCTGAAAAGACGTGTAAGGGTGCTTGTTCCTCCCAGACACCACCAGCAGTGGCTCGTTCTCGAGAAGGGTTAATGCCGCTTCTATCTTCCTCAAGGTCTTGCCTCCTTCGGTGTACACCACCGTGGGGCTCACCAGTTCTAGCAGGGCAGCCATCTCCTCTGAAATCGACAATAATATGTTTATATTAAGTAAAATCTACATGATTCATCAAGTTGGGGCATTGCTTTAAAGGCAGAGTAGGGAATAAAAAATAAATAAAATCAAGCACATTCTAACTAGGTTCAGTAATTTTTTTGGGATCCCCTGCTCGATTAGAATATTATACAGCTTCTGGCGATCAATGGAATCATATAAAGTTGAAATACGCTAATCAACACCGTTGTACTCTAATTGTTTCTCCAATATTTGTCGTAAAGAAAATATTTTATCAATAGTCGAACGGGTCCGCCTAAACCAACATTGGTAGTCTCCGATAATATCCTCGGCGTATTCCATGATTCGATTAGTTAAGATTAATGTGAATATTTTATAACATACCGGAAGGAGTAAAATTCCTCGATAGTTATTACAATCCGTCCTCGGACCCTTTCTGTGAATCGGAATAATAATGGATTCGTTCCATCCATGAATTTTTTTTAGTAAGTAAATATTTTTTCAAATTGAAAATCAATATACAGTGAATATCGTTTATCTTGAAGGAGTAAACTTCATCATTATGAATGATCACGGTCGCTATATTCATCCATCTCTGACTATCAATAAAGGCACTGGTCGTTAAATTGAAATCAAACAAGACTAATGAATAAAATTGACGCAAAATGGACTTAAAACAGTGCTTTTTTCAAAATAAAAACATAACACTATTTACTATTTGTAATATATACATCTGGATTAAAATTTGGCTGGCAAGCACTCGTTCGTTTCATCCGTGGTGCCCCTTAAAAACCATTTATTGACCAGAAATTGTACAGTTGGTTTGATATGGATAATTATTATGCTGTTTATAGTAATAATGAAACTAAATTACTTATGGGAAACTACATTAATTAATATTAGAATTCCTGGTAGCTCACTTTATTTTATAATACAGAAAATTAGATATGAATCAATAAAAATAATTATCAAAAGCGATAAACATAAATTACTAAAAGTTGTTTTATAAAATAAAAATAATAATAATCAAGCTTAAAAAATGCTTCTCCTATCTAAAACATTATATACATTTTTTTTACTCAAATCATTGTGTAATCAATTTTCTTTCATGTATAATAAATAAATTTTGTTATAAATTATACATTTTTAATACATGTGTTCTCAGACATATTGGTAAGAGAAAACTATTATTAAATAAGAAAAAGTCAGAGAATTTTACCTTAACTTTCTGATAGCAACCGAGGTTTATCTAATAGACGAAGGAGTGATTGATCCTAATAACTTGCAATTTATTAAAACAAATTCTGTTTTTTTTTTCTGTTGACATTACAGACCATGTAGATCTTTTGCCGCCTTAACAAGCCTACTCCACTTCTGCCTGTCTTGGGCTATTTCTTTCCAGTTACTTTTGCCTATTGCATATTTGTTTATTTTATTTATTCATATGCTTTTTGGCCTTCCACGTGGTATTTTGCCTTCTATTGAGGCATTCATTGTTACGTAGAGGCTTCCAGATGGATTGCTACAAGTTACATGCCCCGCTCATCTTAACCTCCGTGCCTTTATATCATGGAATATTGATTGACCAGTTTCTGTAAGCACTTCTTTGTTGGTCTTTCTTTTCCATGTGTAAGTACTCCGATCCCAGATCGCTCTGGTTATCGTGCGGAGAATTGTTCTCAAATCTTCCAATACTTTTTCTAGGGCGCTGATCAGTGTCCAAGCCTCAAAGCGTTAGAACTGGCTTTATCATACCATTGTAAATATTTTCATTTGAAATGTTTACCTTTGAAAAACGAAGAAAGATCTGTTCGTGCTTTTCATTGTTCCATTTCCGACTGTTGGTCATTCATTAAGATTATTATGAAACTTGCGATGTATTCGTTACTTGCGTTTTTCTACGTCCTCCATTCCTAAATTAAAACTCAGAGCTTCCAGAGCTTAAAATATTTGGTGATGTTATATATAGATGACAATGATGTTCTATTGCTTTAGGTGGATAAGGATTCGTAAATTGGGTAAATATAATCTTTTGAGGTAAGAAAGATATCGATTAGAGAGAGGGAATCGATAACTCTAAATTATTCCTTTGTGAACCTTTCCCAGTTACGATAAGGGTAGACATGCCCTTCTAAGGTATATTATGCATTGCGGCAACTCAATAATCGAGTTAGCTGTGCAAACAGAATTCATATAACAGATAACATTTGACGTGTTTTACTGTATTGTAAACAGAACGTTGTCCAGTATTGTACAATTTTTATGTTAATCAGATCTTATGACACAAAGCTTAAAAGATTTCTCTGTTTATTATACACCTGTATTAACTATAAACTATTTTTTATATTCTCGGCATCCGGTGCATACATATTGTTGCAAACATGATGGTTAAGAAGCTGGGACATTCCACATCCAAGTCACATGCTGTTTGTCTTTCTTATAAATAGAGGTTACAGTCTAATACGGATATTGTATAATTGCTGTATGAAGAATATTTTCTACCATAATTATTTCTGTACTGTTTGAAGGCAACTAAATATTTCATTGAAATTAAATGAAATTTTCGTTGAATCTGAATCCAGACTTTTAATATTTATTTAAATACCGCAATTTAAAATATATATTAAGGTAAGAAAAAAGGGAGTGAGGTAGCTTAGTGGTGCAGCGCTGACTTCCAATGCTCAAGACCCGTCTGATGAGAGATGAATTATTTATTCTGTTTTGTTGGCCGTGGATCGACTCTCCAAGGTCACACCCAGCCTCTATAAAATGGGTACGCTTAATTAAATAATTAATTAAGGTGGAGCTCAGATCACCTTGAAGAACCGTTGACCAAGAAACAGTACTTCCTTTCAAAGTACTGGATCCAAGACCATACATAGGCTGTAGTGGTACAGGTTCTTTTTATTTTTTCAATTTAAGGGAAGGCTTTAAGAAATACAAGTTGCTGATTATATTTCCAATATTTTGTGGTCAGGAAAAAAAAAACTATATATATATTTCTTGGCATCCTTCCTCTTTCAAGATATCCAACCTCGTTGTCCTTCATACATCTCCGAACTCCTTCAATTCAAATCCTGGATTCATTTCCACAGTACCACTTTCATTTCCACTCTTAGTCTTCAGATCTATATACTACGGCCCACTGAAACGCTGCTTTCGACAGATCGTTCATTATCCAATTCTCATCTCTGTGGAACTCCATCCTTTCCCACATCCGTCGCACAAATACCCTCCCTACCTCTAAATCCCGCATGTTTAACCATTTTTTATCCATCCAGTTCCCATAAAATTATAAATTAATATTACTGTAAATATTTATATAAATTATTAGATCATCCTTAATTATTTTTACTTATGTTTTATTATTTTTTTTAATAGTTGATAATATTCAGATATTAACTGATACTTTTTTATTATGACTGTTTATTTGTTATGCGTTATGTTCTTTAGCCCACATTTCTGTATTTTTGTATTATTCTAAAGGGACTTGTCCAAGAATAAATAAAGTATTATATATATATATATAATATATATATAATATATATATATATAATATATATATAATATATATATATAATATATAAAAGCCTGTACGACTACAACTCATGAAGAATCTTGGGTTCTATACTACGTAAGGTCAACGGTTGTGCAAGCGATTGATTTGACCGAGATCACGCTCAAACCACCAGGTTTTCCTCCTTAATTAATTATTCATTTAAGGTTACGTACTTTATAGATTTTGGATGTACTCCAGGAGGGTCCCCCGACCCGATCCAAGGTCAACATAATATAATATTATATATATATATATATATATATATATATATATATTATATATATATAATATATAAGTTAAGGACCGGAGTAACGGCTGTTAGGTCTAATATCAGCTGTTTGAAAAATCAGCTGACAGGTAGATATATATTGAGGAGCAAGGAGAAGAATAGATCAGTATTTATACTACAGTCTTGTGTGTTATTTCTGCTCTCTCTCTTTTTATATTGTATTCTTTATAGTGAACTTAAATTATATGTGTATATATATACACACACACATATATATATATACACATGTATAACATCAAGTGGATTACATTAAGATTAAATGCAATGTGAAATGACTAATTCATTGCAATAGTTAATTAGGCACAGTTAAATGCTAAATTATTATTTAAATGATGGATTTAAATGACTGTTTAAAAACATTCTTAATTTTTTAGTAACAATAAGTGTTTAAAAATTCTATGTTCTTTTTGATTAAATATTACCTTCAATGCAGAAATATTTTTAACTTTTCTTAGAATAACATTATTTCCTTAACAGAATAATCAAAGTTATATAAAATATTTATATAAAAATATATCATGAATAGATAACGAGGAGATGAACTTTATGGTTTGCTGAGTATTTTTCAAGTAAAATTATACTTAAAATTATTTCTCGAAACAAAAAAGTAAAACCATAGTTTTCTACGACTTCTGAAACGTTTATAATAATTGCACGAGGAGAAATTATTGTAAACGATTGTCCAAGAATCGATACGGCAATTTACCGAACTTCTTGTGAACTTTATAAATGAGTGACTGTTACATGAAGCATTTATAACCTCCATCAAAGGGGTCGTTGATCGAATCTTTAAGAAGTATTATGCAGCAAAAGTATTATTATTATTATATGGAAACAAAATTTCGCTTTAGAGTTTCATAATTATTTTGTACGGTTTAGAAAAAAGGAGAATATGAGATGAATTGTTTTATTTTTTTAGTTAGTTTGTATTTGTTTTTATGTATTTAGTTTTTAAAGTATTGAAAGTTTATATTCATAACCTGTATTCGAGTACTATGAACCTGTCGGCTACTAACACACTATATCGTCGGCGCCATGTTAAAGTAGCGAATGTAAAAACCAAATTTTTCAATGTCTTTTGTTTACCAGAGTACTCCATTAGTACCAGCTTCTTATTTATTTTGAGCTATTTCCTTGGAATACAACCATGCTCGATA